CAAGCCTTCCATGGTAGAGGAATTCTGTTTTATTATACAGAAACCAGCAGAGACTTTAATGCCTGCTTAGAATGGTGTAACAGACGGGAATGCTTAAGAAACCCAAATGCAGAGATTATTCTATTATCCTTCTGGTTACCTCCACAGCTTTCTTTCTTCAAGTATACGGGCAGCAATAGAGGCTTGGAGTGGAACTAAAAGCAGAGAAAATTCTCTGCACTCTTCCTTGGGCTTAAGTAAAAGAGTCCTAGAGGATGGCATTTATAATATACATAAAACGGGACTCACCCTCAAAGCATCTGATGCCAAAGGTGAACTGAAAGTGTCTAAAGAGGTAATCCACCTCTCAATCCATGTTAATATCTGATGGGATCAAAATGTTCTTTCATCCTAGCTGCCTATCAGAAAAAAGCATTCCTTCGCTAGGAAAAAATAATTATTTACACTAGTCTCCTCTAAATACAAGGCCAGTCTATATATTTTTAAAAATTACCAGTCATAAATGAAGCAAATAAAGATGATCCATAACCAAAAATATAAAAATTAAAAAAAAGCCCAGCTGGAAGAAACAGACCCAGATAAACTACATGTTGGAAAAAGGAGACAAGGAGTTTAAAATAATTGTTTTAATTTTTTTAATAGAGAAAAAAAGATTAATTGAATAGATGAAAATATGGAGAACTTCAACAGAAAAATGAACTCTCTGTATAAGAGCACAATAATAATTACAGGAAAATTAAGAAAAATAATGTCTTGAAAACACCTCTCTTGGTAGTTGAAAAAATGAAAAGCCAAAAAGAAAAACTAGTGAGGAAATACAGAAAATGTTATTAACCACCTTGAACCAATAATCACAAACTACAGAATGTGACCTATTTCACAAATCAACATACATTTACCTAAAAATTCAATGTTAATGGAAAACAAAAACATGAACCTGAAGAAAATCACCAAATGCAATGCATGCGCCCTAACTGGATTTAGAGAAACAAATTATAAAGTACATTTTGGGGACAATAAGAAAAATATGAATTTATGAACAGGATATTTTAGGGAATTACTGTTGTCTTGCTGTAATGACGGTATTGTGAATATGCAGAGGAATGTCCCTATTTTTAGAGGTATTAGGTTGAAATGTTATCTGCTATTTACTTTCAAATGGCTCAGTAAATAGTGTGCATGTTTCTCTGTGCAAAGTGTTAAAAAAGGCAAACTGTTTAATTAAACATACAATTACATCTTTATATTATATTTTTTTCTAGTTTTTAATCCTTGGTATTACAAATAAAATTCTAGTATTTCTTGAAGGAAATCTTATGCAGAATTCTTCAAGCCCACCAGTCAACAAAATCTTAAGAAGGTAATGTCGGTAAGACTTACCTCACATGCCATTCCTATAAGGATTTAAGTACAAATAACTCGAAACAAACTTTTGTCAAACCCTTTTTAAAGCCCATGTTAGCTTTCAAAGTGACACTGCTGTTTCAGAACTATCAACAGAGAAAGAAATTACATATAATTAAGTTAGAATTATAGATAAGTCAAGTCTCACTATTGTTTTGAAGACTTTTCCCCCAACCTTCTTTTAAGTTTAAAGTAGAAGTTTGAAAACTCCTCTTGGGATTCCTTCTCACAGTAAAATCTTTTTACCATAGTTTGCCACTGTTCTTTTTCAGCAGTTTGACCTAACTTCTTATTAATCTACTTTTTCAGCAGTTTTACCTAAAAAATGACCTCTTTCAGAAAACATGTGTATACAATAACTATTGATAAAAATACATATCTAAGGAAAAAGAAGAGTGAAGTGTAAGCAGGTTCATTATTCAAATGGAAGGTACAACACAAGCAAATACTCCAATGAGAGTACCACCTATGTGGGAGGTGGGGGGTGGGTAGGGCAGGGGAGAATAATGGGGGGGAAATGGGGACAACTGTAACTGAACAACAATTAAAAAAAAGAGAGAAAGAATACCACCTATCAAAGTCCATTGAAGAAATAAAGTCTGAGAGCTTGTCTTACATACTGTAATACTAATTTAAAAGCAGAGCTGTTAAGAGCCAAGAATGATGGCCTTAAATAGTAATGATGCTGATTTCCTCATAGATTACATTATTATTTTTGGGTTACAAGGGAAATGTTTGGTTTAGTAGTATGCTTGATACTCCTAGCTGAGGGAGAAAATGTATATTCTGTAGGAAAGTCAGATTTATAACCATTCTCTCTGTAGAATCAAACCAACCCCCCCCCCAAATTTTAATTCCAAGCATCCTATCTCCTATTATTTCATTCCTTTCTATAGTTCCCCCGACTCCACAGTTCTTCGTTTCCAGAACCCAGTAAGGGTACCTGCCATCTTTTCATTGCTCCTCACCCTCCTCACATTCAACTTCCTTCTTACATGCTGTCATAATCATCACAATGTATACACCATCATCTCTTTTGTCTCTAAGTCATTATACTTATTTGAGCATTAATCCTACTATACTGTCCTATGTATTCACTCACTTCTTCACTCTCCAAGAAAAACTATTTCACTATAACTTTGTGCTTTGATTGTTGCAGTAGCCTCCAACCTGGTTTCTTTACTTATACCCTTGTGCCCTTCCCATAGTCTACCTTAACACAGTAATTAATTCTTAATAATTACTGACATTTTAAAATGCTAATAAAAACCTATCACTCCTCTTCTTAAAACATCCAATGACCTCATGAGAAACCTCATGTACAATAAAAAGCCCCTACAAAAATCTTCATGCCCTACAAAATCTAGCAGTTTTTTTTTAAAAAGAAAATATTTTATTTAATTTTAGAGGAGAAAGGAGGGAGAAAGAGGAGAGGAACATCAATGTGTGGTTGCCTCTTGTGTGCTCCCTACTGGGTACCTGGCAGGCAACCCAGGTATGTGCCCTGTCTGTGGATCAATCCAGTGACTCTTTGGTTCACAGGCCAGCATTCAAACCACTGAGCCACAGCAGCCACGGCATGTTTTTATTGTTGTTGTTGTTCCATTTTCTCCCCACCACTGTCCCCCGCCGCACCCTCAATCCTACTCCCCATCTTTGGCTTTGTCCGTGGCTCTTCTATATATGTTCCTTGATGACCCTTCACTTTCTTTTTCCCATTAGCCCACCCCCCTCCAATCCCTCTGGTTATTGTCAGTTTGTTCTTTATTTCAATGTCTCTGGTTATGTTTTGCTTGCTTGTCTGTTTTGTTGATTAGGTTCCACTTATAGGTGAAAGACATATGGTATTTGTCTTTCACTGCCTGGCTTATTTCACTTAGCATAATGCTCCCCAGTTCCATCCATGCTGTCGTGATGGATAGGAGCTCCTTTCTTTTTGCTACACAGTATTCCATTGTGTAAATGTACCATAGCTTTTTGATTCACTCACTCATCGATGGACACTTAGGCTGCTTCCAGCACTTGGCTATTATAAACTGTGCTGCTATGAATATTGGAATACACAGGTTCTTTTGAATTGGTGTTTCAGGGAAGACAAACAATCCAATTAAAAAAGGGGAAAAGGACTTAAACAGACACTTCTCCAAGGAGGACATACAGAGGGCCCAGAGACATATAAAAGGATGCTCAGCATCAATAGCCACGAGAGAAGCAAATTATAACCACGAGATACAACTTCACACTGGTCAGAATGGCCATCACAAACAAAATCAACAAACAACAAGTGCTGGTGAGGTTGTGGAGAAAAAGGAACACTAGTGCACTGTTGGTGGAATGCAGGCTGGTACAGCCACTGTGGAAAACAATATGGAATTTCCTCAAAACACTAAAAATCTAGCTGTTTATTATCTTATTTTTGACCACCCTCCCTCTCTCATTCTGCTCTAGCCACACAGGTTAGACTCCTAACACACTCTAGCCATACACTCCTTTCTCTTTCTGAAACATTTCAGCATGCTCCTGCCTCAAGGCCTTTAGACTTGAGGGATCTTGAGCTTTCACTTCCTTCAGGTCTTTTACACATATCATTTCAGTGAGGTCTTCTCTGTCTACCCTACTTAAAACTCTTTCATTTTTCATTTTTCTCATGGTCCTTACCATTTCTGACCCATTATATATTTATTTTGTATTGTTTCTTGCCTCTAACCACCACTAGGCATGTAAGCTCTAAGAGAGCATGGATTCTGTCTGGTTGATCTTTGTACTCCCATTGCCAATAATGTTACTAGTACACAGTAGACAACACTAAAAACTATTTATTAAATGAATAAAGAAATAATATAAATACATCTTTTTCTCTGAATCATTTGTTGAATGAATGAAATATATACTATTTCATAATTTTTAAATGAGATTAACATAAAAATTTGATATAAAATATAAACCTGAAGTTACTGTAAACTTATTGTCCATGTTGAAAGATAACACTTTCTTTTCTGGGAGTTTATTTGAAAATCCAGTCAATATACATATCCATTCTTATAGTTTTCTCAAGGTGAGAAATATCATCAGTATTTTATTTTCTGATGTTTTTAACATTAGACTCTGTTCAATGAGAAAATAAAAATAACCCAAAGTCAATATAAGTGCTGTAATACCCCAAATCACACGCCAATAATTCAGGCTTCTGAAACTTTTAATAAGTTTTCACATTTTAAATTATAGAAAAATACTCACTTTTACTTGAATCCAAATATGGATATTTATCTAAAGAAATTTCTATCTTCTAACTTCGTAATGATGAGTCATATTAACTTTCATATTTTACTGGATTAATGTTAAATATGTTAAATGTATTTAAAGCTATTTTAAAAAGTTGAAGCAGAAAATTTAAAGTTATGTCAAAGAAAAACTTTTTGATTTAAAAAGAAATGAAATAAACCTAACTCAAGGGGTGAAGAAGTTGTTTAAAAAAACGTCAACTGTTTTCAAACACTTCCATTTTGGTACAATAAATTTATACACAGCATTATTTAAATTTGAGAGTGTCAACAATACATTAGAAACCAAACATGTTAGTTCATAAAGGCACTCACCTACAACACCATTCAATACGACCTTCACCTTCACAACATTTTGACCAATGATTATCTGCCAAATTTTTCATTGCAACAGCATATTCACAAAGTGTTTCCTCATCCTCACAATGTTCTCGCCAGATCTTATCAAAATCTCCCACTAAAAACAAGGAAAAAAATAAATTAAGTTAACTGTACTTTTGGATCTCTACACACTTATCAGTTCCCAGTATTTTATAAAAAGCGGTTGATAGACGAGAGAGCAATGTAAGTTAGCAAGTTAAATATTTTTATTTATGCAGTTGATCTGGTTCTAAGCATATTGTACTTAAAACATTGTAATCCCAGTGCAAAAATGTTGCTAAAGAAATTACCTTGGAAGCTTCTCCAAAGTTTAAGTATTAGTAAAATGTTCTGAGTAAAAATTTTAGATTAACTATTTGGCCACTATATTACTTCCAGCTACTACTTTTTTGAAAAAAAAATTAAGTTATCACACTTAACATAATATATGAAATATCAATTTGAGTTCTGATAAAGAGAGGTATGAGAATGCCATGTCCAAATAAATGACCTTAACATAACTGTAAGGGTAAAAAAGAGCAAACAAAAGTTATCAAGGTGGCTTCATTTGATGTCCTTTGACATAAGACATATGTTCTCTTGCCACATGTTCAAATGTCATCAATTGTTTGGTGACAAAATAAACTTAAAAACATACATAGAATAACCAAATTTGGAGATGACTATTATATTCAAATTATTCCCTCAAATGAGACTATTATATTTTAGTATTTAAGTTTTTTAGCAAAAAAAAAAAAATAGTTCAACTAAAACAACACAACTATTCAAAATTTGAAAAACTTTTTTATTTTTAAGCACATGGTCCAAATAAATTGAAAATGAAACGAACAGCCTTCCAGTTTGACCTAATCAAGAAAAATAATTGTACAAACATACTTTCACGTGCACAGGTGAGTAAGTATCAGTCTCAGTCTTGCCCTGAACACTAATTTAAAATTCAATAGGAATAAAAAGTTTTCTTTTTTGAGGGGTTATGTTTTTGAAACAAAAATATTTCCTTTGATCACTAATATTTGTGTAGTGACAGGGTTCTCAATTTCTTATATAGCAGGCTGTCAATAATTGTCCACTAAAAACCAGAAGGTAAACAGAATTTTTCTAAATTCTCAAAGTTCTCAGTTTTGAAAAATATTTCAGATGCAGTTAAATTTATCACTCTCAATAGAGAACTGTAAGAAAAAGTTTCCGAAGCAAATATTTTGATTAATGATACTTTACAAAACTATGATGGTTTATAACACTATCACTGACTTTACTAATAAGATTTGACACCAAATGGCTCAATAAGGTATAGCAGCCTTTTAAAGGTGCTTTATCTTTTTGTTGGTAGATACTTTCAACTCTGAAAGGCCCTTTGTTTGACCTTGTAAGTTTCACCATCTTATAAAATATACATATTATAAATAAATACATCAATTTACTACATTTACTGGTAATAGGAGTCATTCAAACAAACGTTCTATTACCCAATGCATTTGGGAAAAGCTTATCTAACATTTAAACAGGTTTCCTTTCTATACAACTTCTTAGTTTAGATTCTACAGAAGGTACGGCTTAGGACAGGGGCCTGAATACAAGTAGTTTATATGGAAGAGAATCCTAGGAAACTGGAGTGAGGGAGTGGGAGAGTAAGACAAGGGAGTAGAAAATGCTGATACAGTATTACATTACTGAGGTTGCTGCTGTGAGCAACAGAGAAGCATATAGAAGGCCACTGGAATTGTTCACCTACAGGATGGGAGGCTGAAACATTTATCTATTAGTTAATATCCCCCATTAACTAAGGGTTAACAACATGCGTTTCTAGTATGTACTTAAGGACTGAATAAGGGAAAATCCACAGTGGGCTCCACCAATACTGAAGAAAAAGAGAAAGTAGTAAAGAAAGCAGCACATATTTAAAGCGAAACTTTGTCAAGGCTGTGTGGCTCTGAACTCACAGTGTCTGTCTATCACAACTGAGAACCAAGGGTATGTTATGTGGACCACCAAAGGCATCTATTACTATGTGACTGTATAACATGAAACTCAAGTTACTTTAGAATTATTCTACTAGCTATTAGATGCAAAGACAGCTGTAAATGAGATGCAAAGACAGCTGTAAATGAAACCTGCTGCCCTTTAGCTTTATAGAAGACTTCTAGCTTCTTACACTTAACAAATTCTCTTTAAATACAGTACATTTCTTTTTTACCTTTATTTCTGTTTACATTATTACAGTCACACCATTTTCCCCTATAAGTCTACTTCCAGCCAGCCCTTGCCTCCCTTTACTTCAGCTATCACCACAAAGTTGTCTCTGTCAATGGGATTATCTAATCCCTTCACCTCATTTCAAACAGGCCCTGCTCCCTCCTCCACTATGAAAGCTGGCAATCTGTTCCATGTATGCATGCCTCTGGATCTATTTTGATTCTTGGTTCTATTAGATTCCACATACAAGTGAGATTATATGGTATTTGTCTTTCTCTGACTGGCTTATTTCACTTAGCATAATGCTCTCCAGGTCCATCCACACTGTCACAAAACGTAAAATTGTCTTCTTCTTTTATGGCCACATAGTATTCTATTGTGCAAATGTACAACTTTTTATCCACTCATTTACTGATGGGCACTTTGGCTCTTTCCAGATCTTGGCTATTATAAACAGTGCTCCTAGGAAGATTGGGGTGCATATATTCTTTCTGATTAGTGTTTTGGGATTCTTAGGATATATTCCCAGAAGTGGGATTGTTGAGTCAAAAGGCGGGTACCATTTTTAATTATCTGATGAAACGCCGTATTGTTTTGTTCAGTGGCTGCACCAGTTTGCATTCCCTCCAACAGTGCATGAAGGATCCCTTTTCTCCGCATTTTCACCAGCACTTGTTTGCTGATTTATTGATGATAGCCATTCTGGAAGGTGTGTGGTGATATTTCATTGTGGTTTTAATGTGCATCTCTCTGATGATTAGTGACCTTGAGCATTTTTTCATATATCTATTGGCCATCTGTATGTCCTCTTTGAAGAAGTGTCCCTTCAGGTCCTTTGTCCTTTAATTGGATTACATTCCTGGTGTTAAGCTGTATAAGTTCTTTATATATTTTGAAAAATACACCCTTTTCAGAAGAATCATTGCCAAATATGTACTTCCATAGAGTGTGTTCCCTTTTCATTTGGTGATAGTTTCTTAAGCTGTGCAGTAACTTTTAAATTTGAAGTAGCCTCACTTGTTTCTTTTTTGTTTCCCTTGTCCTAGGAGATATATTGGCAAAAATATTGCTATGAGGCAGATATGAAATTACAATAGCCAAGTGCTGGAAGTAACCTAAGGGCTCTTGAGTACACGCGTGGATAAAACTATGGTACATTTACCAAATGGAATACTATGCAGCAGAAGGAAAGAAAGAACTACTACCCTTTGCTACAGCATGGATGGAACTGGAGAGCATTATGCCAAGTGAAATAAGCCAGGTGGTGAAAGACAAATACCATATGATCTCACCTGTAAGTGGAACCTAGCTAGCAAAGCAAGCAGGCAAAGAAAATATGACCAGCGACATTGAAAGAAAGAAACCGACAGTGGCGGGAGGGAGTGAAGGAGAAGGGGGTAGTGGGGAGGGGAAGGGGAAGGGTCAGATCAAGGAACAGGTGTGAAGGACACATGGACAAAGGCGAGGATGGAGAGGACGGAGGTAGGGAGGTAATGGAGAGTGGGGCAAGGGAGAGCGGTGGCGGGTAAATGGAGACAAATGTATTGGAACAATAAAAAAATTTTTAAAAAAAGAAATTGAAGATAATTTTGTATATCAATAATGAAATATCAGATGCAGAAATTAGTAAAAAATCGCATTTACTATAAAAACAAAAAAATAAAATACTTAGCAATAAACTTAAGCAAGGAGGTAAAAATACCTGTATTCAGAAAACTTTAGAACACTGAAGCAATTAAGGAGGAATGAAATAAATGGAAGCATATACTGTGTTCATGGATTAGAAGAATTAACATCATTAAAATGTCCATACTATCCAAAGCAATCTATAGAAACCTACAGATTCAACACAATCCCTATCAAAATACCAATGACATATTTCACATATATAGAACAAATATTTCAAAAATTTATATGGAACCATAAATGTCCCCAAATAGCCTCAGCAATGTTGAGAAAGAACAAAGTAGGAGTGTCACAACACCTGATGTCAAGTTATATTATAAGGCCACTCAAATCAAAAGTCTGGTACTGGCATAAGGACAGACACAAGGATCATGGACCAGAACAGAGAGCCCAGAAATAAACCCATCTCTCTATGGTCACTTAATATTTGACAAAGGGGACAGGAACATAAGAAAAATATATTGCTATGAGGCAGATATGAAATTTTATTACCTATGTTTTCTTCTATTTTATGGTTTCACAACTGACATTTAATTTTTTTATTCATTTTGAGTTTATTCTTGTGATGCTGTAAGTCGGTGGTCTACTTTCCTCTTCTTTTGCATGTACATGTCTCATTTTTTCAACACCATTTATTGAAGAGATTGTTTTTACTCCATTGTAAGCTCTTTCCCTTTTATCAAATATTAATTGATCATAAAGTCATGGGTTGATTTCCAGGCTCTCTATTCTGTTTCACTGATTTACAAGCCTGTTCTTATGCTAGCACCATGCTGTTTTGATTACAGTGGCCTTATACTATAGTTTTATATCAGGTATTGTGGTACCTCCAACTTTGTTCTTCTTTCTCAAGAATACTGAGGCTATTTGGGGTCTGATTTGGTTCCATATAACTTTCTGGAATATCTATTCCCGATCTGTGAAATATGCCATTGGCACCTTAGTAGGAAATGCATTGAATCTATAGATGGCTTTGGGTTGTATGGACATTTTAATATCAATTTTTCCAATCCATGAACATGGTATATGCTTCCATGCGTTTGTATCTTCTTCAATTTCTTTCTTCAGTGTCCCATAGTTTTGCAGTATAGATCTTTTATGTCCTTGGTTAAATTTATTTCAAGGTACCTTATTTTTGTTGTTGCTGTTGTTGCAATAGTAAATGGGATTTTTTTTTCTTTTTTAGTTTCTCTTTGT